ATATTCCTATTTTGAAGTGATGATGAGTGGGTTTCAATAGGGGGTTGGGGCTTTTATGACGTATTAATTGTGTGGTGATTTCATTGATTTTAGGCCGTACTTACAAAAATACCCTTAAAATTAGGGATGCTTTGAAAAATCATATGACATGTTTTTAGGAAGTAAAAAATACTGTGTAAAAAGTGACACAAACTCCAAAAAAAAAATGACAAAACTAAAAAAAAAGTGACTCTCAAAAAGTGATACAAACTCAAATAAGTGACACAAACTAAAAAAAAAAAAAGACAAATACCAAAATAGCACCATCCATTTTTGCAGCACCAGTAATCATGTTCTTAAAATAATTAGCACGTTCAGGCCAATCAACATGCTGATTATATTAGGAAAATATAATATATTATTTCGCTCTGTTTATCTTCTTAAAAAGTGACAAAAACTTGAAAGGTGACAAAAACCTAAAAAAAGTGACAAAATTTTAAAAAATGACAAAGTCACTTTTATAAAATTGACAGTGTGACACAATCTCACTTTTATAAAAAAAATAAAAATGATTTTGTTAGTAAAAAAAAGACCAAAAAACCAAAAAAAGTAATAGAAAACAGTGACACACTATAAAACGTGACCGAAACTCAAAAAAAGTGACAGAACTTAGAAAAAATAGTAGTTGATTAGCAATCAAGAACAGGAGATGAAAAATGAAAAATAAATATTTCCCCCTTTAGATCCATAACATTAATTGTACGAAAAATGAAAAACAAGCTGTGAATTATCAGAACGCAAATATAATTCATAATAATAATAAAAAAAAATCCTACAAAGCATCAGCTGTTCTACAGGTGGATTTTCTATCCAAGATTACAAGTTCTGTATAACTCCAAAGCTAAGGGAAAGTAAGAATCAGCATACTGTAAAACTTTGCAGTAAAAATTCAGAAAATGACGTCTCTATATAAGCTGAAACATCCTACTCATCCATAGAAGATGTTTACCTTTCCTAGAAACATTCTATTATAACCTAGAGGTGGTGGTGGATTTTTTCACGATAATCATTCACAACATTATCCCAATTCCATCTCTAGGTTATAATAGAAAACAAAAGCGTAAAATGTTCTTTCTGTTCTGGATTTGAATTTTAGAGAAATCGTTGGCTGCATTTCCTTCTTCCTCTACTTGTCTTGCTCTAGTCTTCCTCTTTCATTTCTTCCCCACTTCAATTGGCCTCCT